GAGTCGTTTATTTGTAGGTATAATAAATAATGAAATATGTGTCTAAAATAAAAATTTTGTACTACAATAATTATGGTATTATGTAATTAAAGCCTGCTATATATGTGCATGGTCTATCAATTAATTTTTAATCTCATAGATCTTAACCTATCTTGGACGCAAGGCTAATCTCTGTGAGTTTATAATATTGGATTTGTTTGACTGTAATATTTGAACAGATGGTAAAACAGAAGCTGATATGGCTACAGTTGACATGCTTCTCAATGTGGTAATGCAATATTTTGTAATTCTGTGTCAATTAATTTAATAATGCTAAAATAGGCTATGGACTTCCGAAATGGATTTGTTAGACTTTGCTATAGTTCACAAATGGTAATTTTTTCCTAAAATGTCTTATGCTGTAATATATCAAGAGTGCATGTAGCTATATTAGCTAATTTTGTTCTCTATTGAATGGCATATAATCATGTCAAGGTCATGAACTCATTAATATTTTTAGGAATCGATGAAAGAAGAATATTTAAAAACTGTTCGGGCTAAGCTTGAGGAAATGTCCAAGTACTTGGGAGATAAACCTTGGTTTGCTGGAAATGAGGTAGAATATTATTAATACTAATAAGTAATAACACTTATGAATCAATACAATATAGATCACTTTTCCCGACTTTCATTTTTATGAAATGTTTGACCAACACAAGGAGTTCCATCCTCAGTTATTTGATGGTCTTGACAATCTTAAGGTAGCAAAGCATGTAATTTTTGGTTTATAATTTCCTTAAATCACAATAGGCTTATATGGATCGCTTTGAGGTACACATTACAAGTAATAAAAGAATATTATAATATTTGTTTCAATGCGTAGGCTCTTCCTGCTATAAAGAGTTATATGGACTCTCCTGAATTTATTCGTTGGCCAATCAACAACCCAATAGCTCAATGGCGTGGAAACAAAAAACTTTAAATAATACTTGTAGCCTAAAATATTGCATCGCTAGACTTATATCTTTAACTGTTAATGATAATTATTCCATGATTTGACCCTAATATTCTCAAGCAAATTTTGTACAAAATTAATTATAGCCTTCAGTGTCCACGTGAACTCTAGCAATAGCATTTCATTGGTCAGATTGTTAATCTAGCTTAGCTAGTGACAGAAACAGACAGGACCCTTCATATGATGTTTCATCATTTCCTTACTCTTGGTTTATTATTCTATTCATATGGTGTCCGGTAAGTCATTAAAAATAATAAAATTCATCTTGATCTAAATTTAGAATCTATTTTAATCTAACCCAAGACAATTGGCCTAACACATTCTTTGGCTACAGTAATTATGCTTTAGCCTGGAAATTGAGAAAATATTATTGTATTCAATGCTTACTTTTTGTAATTGTAGTTCTAATTATGTATTAAATTACCAGTGCTTTTAAAGTCATTATTTTTCAAAAAATTTAAATTTATTAGATCTACATTAATATACATAAATGATGCATTGATTGTTGTGTAAAAAGTATCAGTGATTTCTAATTACATGATTGTGTCAAAAATATTACTTTGGTGCGATTGCACATTGGAGACAGTAGAGTACACCTGTTATGGCTGTCATGTCTTCTTATATCCATTCCTTATGTGTATATCAATTTCAATCTTTGTCTCTTAATGTTTATACTTCATGATACGTTGGTTAACTCATATATACTTAACAGATAGCCCTAATTTATATTTTTTATTTTTTTCCAAAAAATGGCTCCGAAATTTTTATTACACCTTTTCAGTCTATATACGTGATTTGCAAAAAGGATATTAACTAAAACTAAATAAATATTTCTCAATATTGATCATGTGCATGACATATGGCATTATGTGTAATTAACAACTTGTCAGTTGTCATTACTTGATCCTAATTCTATTTTTCTAGTTTCCATTTGATTGTTTTGCTAGTACTTTGAATTAAAGGTAAAAATTAGTACTCACAGATAATAGTAGCTCAAAAATTATTTGTGAGAAACAGCTCAAATTTTCTACATAGTACAAGGACATCAATCAAAAATGCAATAAAAGTGGTATTAGGATGGTTTTGGAGTCAATTAATGGAAAACAACCATAGCCTTTCCTTATTTCAAAATTTGCCTTGTTTTTTAAATGCTCAGTGACAACTTTAAAAATTATTTTGTCAGAAACAGCTCAAAGCATAAGAACAATATAATGTATCAAAAAAAGCTAGAAAGTCCTCGAACTAATTTATTGCAACTTTTATAGGCATTCATCTACTGAAACTATTCTCCATTTATATGTCACACTAGTTTGGCCAATTTTGGAGTATGCCTCCTCAATTTGGGATTCTCGTTCTCCTTCAGTCTCATCACAACTGGAGGCTGTTCAGCATTTTGGCTTAAAAATAGCCTTCAAATCATAATCTATCCCATGCCACCATCTCCTAAATCTCTCTCACATTACTTCCCTGTCTCATTGGCAATTTAAATTTAAAATTGTCCTGTTGTTTAAAATAAAGGAAAATTTCATTTACCCCATTCCATCCTCTACAAAGTAAAGCTCCCTCCTGCTGTTCCCTTTGATCTAATAATAATGATAACTTTTCTCAGATCACTTGTAACACATCTACTTATTTAAACTCATTTTACCTATCTGCAATAAAACAATGGATGTATCTCCCCCCCCCCCCTAAAACTCTCTCTTTTCCTCTCTTATATTAAATTTTTCATTCATCATCGTCTATAATACTTTACAATATTTCAACAATTAGCTTTGCTATTATTATTATTTTTTAAAAATGTAATGAAAAATGGGATGATTTTAGAGACACTTTTTGGAAGTAATTATGTGCTATAAAAATTGGTTTGTTTTTTAATGCTTATAGTTCAAAAATTAATTGTCAGAAACAGTTCAAACTTCCAACATAGCATAAAGACATCAATATGTATCAGAAAATGTAATAAAAATTGGGGGTAATTTCAGAGCCATTTTTTGGAAAAAACCATACAGGGTATTTTTTCAGATTCTGGTTGATTTTTTGAAATGCCCATAATTTCAAAAATTAATGTCGGAATCAGTTTAAACTTTTACATAGCATACATAGCATATAAGGACATCAATATGCATTTCTAAAATGTAGTAAAAATTTGAGGTAATTTTGGAGGCATTTAAAAAAGTAAAGGATATTATTTTTAAATGGTCTATATATATTGTAAAATAGCCATAACTCATAAATTGATGTCCAAATTGACTACATAGCATAGTATAAGAACGTCAATAAGCATCAGAAAAAATTCTTAGTACCATATGTTCAACATAAGTAATGCAATCTGGGTCATATGAATCTAAAAATTAGTTGGGCCTATAATAATTGATGCTGCTCAAATAGAAAACCTTTTACCAAGTAGAAAACAGCAGCTCTTTGCAATGATCAGCTTACAATTAAGGCATTGATGTAAATGATTTCAAGGATAAAACACAGATAGCGATGATAATCAGTTATCTGACAGTACATGTTATAAATGATCCCCCTGTAACTGGCCACATGAAATATTACATGCTAATTGTTTATGATTCATAAAATTATTTGTATATACAAATCACATTAGACATCCATTTCACAAATTTCTTCAGTCCTTACTAGCATTTTATGTATGCTTTGCAATATTCTTGAATTTGCATTTGATGAAAGCATGCCCTTTATTTTAATATAAATTACAATAAAGTAAAGTAGTTGATCATTGTCGAGCTTAGATAACACTTTTCTCCAGTTGCTACTAATAGCTATTTGAGATGACATGAAATATTGCAGTAAAAAGTCATTATCTTACCATTATTACTAGTTCTATGTAATTTAATTCTCCTTTTCAATGGTAGAATCTTATATCT